ATTTTGGCCAATGACGTCATCAAATTAGCATAAATTATGTATATTTAATGATAAAATTTACATAAAATTATAAGGGATGTTATTAATATTAGAAACCATGAGTAACTTGACATAAAACCCATAAAATTCTATTGTTGAAACAAAAATGACTAAATTTAGCAAAAAATGCCTGTCAGAAACCCGTTGCCATGGCAACACAAAAAATTATTATCTTATTCCAATGATAGGAAATTGTTGCCAACAATATTTTAGGAAAAGTCACCAAGTTTGGTCGTTCTACGGCTAGCCGTTCAGACGCTAGGTGACATCGAAGTTGCCGCGGGCACTTTTAGCCCCCCCCCCCCGGTCTAGGTAGGGTTAACATGCAGATTGTGTTTGCGATTTTGTTGCGGAGACGTCTCACCTCTGGCACATTCTGTTCTTTAAAGACTTTCTGACGCTGCAAGATCATGGCCTTCAGGGCAGGGGTCATCCATGGTTTGTCTCTTTCATGTAAACGGACAACCTTAGATGGTAAGTATTTATCCATTGCTCTAGACAGTGTGGAGTAGAAGGCAGAAAACTTGTCAGTTGCGCTGACCGCGCTGTAGACCTCTTCCCAGTGGTGTTGAGTAATCCACGATCCAAACAACCTTACTCCCGACTGTCGTAAGGGTCTAACGACTTTCTTGACCATCTTATTTCTAACACGAGAGCCAGATACACCAGACCAGACCACACAATTGTGATCACTGGCGCCGACGGGAGGGACCGTTGTTGGTGTGGTTGGTAGCATTGTGTAAGGGCTTCACTCGCAAGTACTTTGTCGAGGATGGCATTTTCTCGAGTAGGTACAGATACTACTGGTTTCAAGAAATGTTCGTGGCAAATCGTACTCACATCCAGATGATTGAGGTCGCCAAGGACGACGACACCGACACCAGGATACTGTCTACGGACGTCGTCGATAGAGTCCGATAGAAAGTCCAGAAGTGCGTTGTCAGACGTGGAGTTGGGAGGGTGGTAAACTCCGCAGAGGGCGATTGACGACACAGATCGCGGAAGCCAGTGGGGTCTCAGATGGACCCAAACACACTCCAATTCTGTCGGCACAGCAACATCCAGTGGTTTTTGACGGTATGGTATGTTTTGTATATACCGCCACGCCTCCACCACGCCTGTCGGACCGGCACTTGGAAAACTGGTTAAAATTCGGAATATCCGTTGCCCCAAGTGGTAGGCTGGGGGTAAACCATGTTTCAGTTACGACTGCCACATCAATTGCCGATGTAGATAGCACCAATTGGAATTTATCCATTTTGTTCAGTAGTGACCTGGTGTTTGTAAGAAGTATTCTCGGCATGCACCGAGACTGGCATGTTGCCTTTTGTTGTTCCAAATTGATTGGACGCAGCTGGGGAGCACGACGTGTAATAAGGTGATTAACGGCAAGGGAGGGTCTATCCTGATTACAGTCTGTATGAGTTTTGTATGGTTCTTACCAGCCTTACAGCCTCTTGGTCTGCTTTTTGGACGCAAGATATCCAGAGAGCGCAGAGTAGACCTGAGCGCTTGATCCGGGGGTGTAGCAGCCTTGCGTAGACTCCGAAAGAGTTGTGCTGGATATCTCAGGATTCCACAGGTGCCATATCCCGCCATTGTTGTACATATCCAGGTAAGACGTGGTGTGGGAATGGACACAAAAAACAGCCAAAGATCGCTTGAAGACAAGTCCGATCAGATGAAGACCATCACAGAACATGCAGCGTGCATTCACACATCCGGACACTAATAAATGGGTATATATAGTCCTCAAGAGATTATAAAAAACGGCTAAAAGTTCGTACTCAGACGGAGAACATTTGACGTGCGGCTGCCTATAAGAAGCGCCACCTAGCAAAAAAAAAGGGTCTTGGTCTTGGGTCACCCGAGGGGCTTCTGTAAATACAGCCGATGGTAATGTGATTGTTGCCACTAAATGTGCAGTCCAAAAATAGCCGCCCCTCCCCTGGAAGCATGCTTCACTAAAGTCCAGCTCCCTAACTGTAACACCTAGGGACTTCCTTACAAATATGGCCACGCCCCTGATCCCAGGGTCCTGCAAGTCTGGATCAGAATTAGTATACGCCTCGTAATCTTCTAACTGAATTGTAGACATGTACAGTGGCGATTTCAGTGCCTTAGGTATAACTTCTGTTATAATACGGACAAAAGAAAACGCTAGTGGACACCATTTTTACACTGAAGTTAAGGCAGTGTAAAGATGTGTTAACGATGACAATGTTCACACCGGTAATGTAGTAGTTGAAAATCCTGAAAATTGTTCTTTATACATGTTCATTCTCATACAATGACATCAATATACCACTACAAGAATTACATGTAAGTACAAAATGATTGCCTACATTTCTATAATATAGTCACAAGTGCGGACTTGTACCTAAACCCCTGTAACTCATACGTAAATCGCGATGCGGGAAAGCCGATTCAAAACCACCTCTAAAAGTGGTTTTGGTTCGAGACGCTTTCAATGTGATTTGGAGCGTTCAGATGGAGCCACTTGAAACCGGCTTCGGGGTAAACCACATGTAAAGCGCCTTCACTGGCTTCACATGAACACGGCCTTATTCGAATCAACTAGTCCCGCGCGCAGGTGGACAAACTTCATTGTCTATATAATATTCAATGTACATATAAAGGGCTGAATTTGTCCATGTTGTATATTTAGATCGGTTAGTGGCTAATTTTGTTGTCTGCCATGGTAACATTTTCGTTAGCGCAGATATGATTATATAAGAAACAGTTTGGATGGAGTTTTATTGGTACGTTGAGAGATGCCTACAAAACCAAATAAATGGTATGACAAGGGTCAAGCCTGATGCAATTGACATACGATTATCTATCCGGTATGTACGGAGAATAACGGAAGGTGTTTTAATTTCTTTTGTATCCGGAGTTGTTGCTAAGGAGAGTGGAACAACTGGCAAAAGCTCAACAGGCGGACGAGGTGCGGGATGCACTACATCAGGTCCTCGACCTTGCAAAGGCGCCGTCGCAGTTAAACACGGCTGTACTAACTCCAGCAATACAGCGTTTGGAGGAGAAGGCACGGGCGTCCGGGCACGAAGACCTCCCGAAGTTTGCGGCCACACTACGTCATGCTACACTGCATGCTGGTAATCTGATGTTAGATGAGATGGTCCTCCGAGACTTAGGATCAGACATCGATGAGAAGATAGGGGCTAAATTTGCGAAGGTCTTGCAACAGGGAGGCATCGCTAGTAAGCAGCTTGTCCCACAGTTCCCTGTGCAGCCCCTCATTTTTTTTTCATTCATTCACATAGACAAGGGCACAAGACATTGTGGTGCCGCACTCAAGTGAAAAGCACTTATGTTTACGGCACCACTAAATAAATACATATAATAAAGAAAAAAACAAACGCAACTTTAAGACAGGCAAAACAATAAATACAGGAAATTCAAAAGCGCAAGTCCGGTTCCCCACCCAATGATAAATTTTGGCAAAAAGAGGACACAATACATAGATAACACAGGGGGAAATTGAAATCTTTTAAAAACGTTCTGATGTGGTGATAAAGTGTTGGGTAAGTGATAATATATTGGAATTGACAACTGATGAGAATACAGGACTGCCACGGAGTAAAAGGTCAGTTTTTGCGTTGTCAGAAAAAGATGTAAAATCTAGGGTGTGTCCTGTAAGCCTGGATAGTTTGCCAAGGAGAGTAAACCGTTGGGAGTTGTACATGGGGCAGTGGAGTAGGTAATGTGGGACGGTTTCACAATTTCATCCGCAGGTACAAGCTGGGCTGTTCAATAATCCACGAGTAATTCAGGCTGCACGTGCCAATGCGAAGGCGTGCCATAAGAGCACAAGAATAACGAGGACCGTGAGCCCCTCAGTTCATCCCGGCACAGCAGCCCCAGGTTCCGCCGCCACCGTGGTACCCCGCTCTGGGGCTCCTGGGGAGTCAGCAGCCGCCAGTGTTCTACGGTAGATGTTTCCATTGCAAGGCGTGGGACCATTCACGGAATTACTGCCCAGTGTTACGAGGAGAGTGAGTGCTATGGGAGAGTGAGTGAGTGAGTGAGTTACGAGAAGGAATGCGCAGTGGGATCAGGGGACGAGGCCTTGAACAAAGATTATAAAGTTAATTGAAATAGATGTTACATCTGATTAACTGTTTTGTCTCTAATAGACGCGTAGTCATATGCATGGACTCCGACGATGATCTGGACCGGTAATGGACAATGTGGAATAAATAAAATTGGTATTGAACATCCAAAGCTCATGTTTCACTTAACTGTGTGATATTGTTGTGGTGCAGATGAGGACTGTAACGCCCTTAAGAATTTTACACGACTCATAGATTTGCACCTCTGTAAGGTAAGAGGGCAAGATTCCATAATCTAGTTGATCAAGGATCACGGAGTTTACTATAACGTACTGATAGGGCAGAGTTGAACAGGACTAGTAATAGAATTGCTGCAAACAAGAATAAAAGTGCTATCCATAACTGTGATGGAATATAGGACACACAATAAAACTCATATGGTGAAGTAAGGAACATTTGCCTCTTTATTTCGATATAACTTGGAATATATATATATATATAGTAAAGACTAGAGATATAAAAGAATAGATGGAAGATTACAATGCAGGTATAACAAGAATGTTCTTAACTAAGGTAGGGGAGGAGAAGAATAAGGCCTCAAGAAAGTAAGTTTTGGGAGAGTAATACTGAATAGATAAGGTCTGGGGTATAAAGTGAAGTAAGGTTTGGGGATTATTGGGAGGAGGGAGTAGAGTGCGGGAGGAGAGAAGAAACGGTGGAGGTCTGTATGGATAGGAACTAGATGGGTAGAAGCGTAGGAAGTGGAGGACGTCCCACTAATGCACAGTATCGATCCCCATATGTATACCTAGCATGTGAGACGTCTTCTACACCGGAGCGGAGGGATACTTGATTTGGATAGGTTACTATTCTAATTAAGTAAGAAACAGAAAAAAAAAACAGATTAAGAAGCAGGTGTTATAAACAGGTGATACAGGTGAGGGTAGTCATGTGCCCTCAGCCCTATAAAACACGAAGTATAGAGAGATACCACGCAGCACAGGAGGAGGCAGGACCGAGAGAGAACGATACAGCGGACATAAGGAATGAGGGGAGGTATGATTGTTAAAGAATTCGAAAAAAAAATGGACACAGTCACTTAGAAGCATAGCTCCATCGGTGGAGGACGTCCCACTAACGCACAATATCAATCCCCATACCTAACATGTGAGATGTCTTCTACACCGGAGCGGAGGGATACTTGATTTGGATAGGTTACAATCCAAAATGGCAAAGCTAAGAATTACTAATGTAAAGGTCTGATTAAATGTCGATTACAGTGAATACCTTGAATTATCTTTACATTTTGCAATATAATTGATTAATTCATGAAAAGTCTACTGTTTAATTCCACCATAGCCATCGTAGAGCACTTGGGGATTAACCCGATTTTGTATAGAAGTGTACAGAATTCTGTCTGTCCCATAATTCTTGCTCCAGTTCCCATAATTCTAGCTACACGTACCATAATTCTGGCTCGAGTTCCCATAATTCTAGCTGAAGTTCCCTCGGTTAAAAATTAACTGCCACCACGTCTGTCTTTTTACCTCTAGTTTACAATATTAGTAAACTTGTTGATATATGGACATTAGTCCAGAATTAAACTGGAATTCCGGGATTAAAACTGACTGCCGACAGACTTCAGGCCTCTTCCTTCAGACCAAGTCTCTCCATGGCGACCAGTCGCAGCTTCTTCCGGTCAACCTGATAAAAAAAGCAAACGATGAAAAAAGCTGAAATACATCTGCATCAAAAACGCTAGCAGGCAATGAAAAAGAAAGTCACCAAAAAGAAATGAATTGAAACGTACAAAGAGAACCAAATGTATGCATGTAGAAAAAATGAAAAAAAAAGATAATTGATAGTAGGCTATTTCAAGATGAGAATGTACCAGGGTGTTACACATTTGCCAATTTTTCAAGTTCCATATTTTCCCACTTTCAGTACAGAAAATTGTAATACATTTGTACAAGTAATGCCATGCATAGTGCTTTTTAAATTTTTTTGGACAGCGATTTAAAATTTGCTCAAAAGGCACATAACAACAATACAACAGTTGTTTTCAAAATGATTTGTTTCAAATATAAACTGACGTTACAGAACTAAAAGAAGGGCACAGATTTCTTTGAAAATTGCTTCATTGTTCCCAAGAATGTTATTATATCTAAATAGTATGTATTTTGCTTAAATGGTACACAATCTCTTCGGACACTAACATATCTACGAACACTACAACATGCTAATTTATGACTACCATTATGTTAATTTACATCCATTATCAAAGTGGCTTCTGTCATAAGGCCATCATGTGTAGTTGTTTCAGAATATTGAACCTGTGCCATTTATATACCAGCTAATGAGCCGTTTTGTACTTCTCTACGGACACCACATAATCCCGCCTACCTTACGCTGTGTCGATGTCATCGGAAACGCGTCCATGAAGAGGAAATAGCCGGGTGTTTCTATGGGAACGAGCTGCAGAGAAAACAAGAAATTTTACACTTCCTGAAAGAAGACATGGTTTGCGATAATGAATTTATTTAACTGATTTTGGATCCCCCAATAATTACACCATAGCACAATAAATTATTTTGATCTTCAAGTAAACTTAACTATCTCCATCCGGTTACGTACATATATATCAATCTTTCGTATTTCCGTAGTATTTTTTTTTATTCAACAAATAGGACAAAGACAAAGTGGCGCTGCACTCAAGTAAACAATACTTATATTAACAGCGCCACTTAAACAAACAACATCATATTAACAATGTTTGTCAACAAAAAACGATTGGAAACAAACGATGTGCACCAACACCAACACCACCTCCCCCCAAACACTAGAAACAAGTGAGTATCTGTATGAAACGAGACGAGTGACTTCTATATCATTTCCACTGACAAACTCAGTCAAAAAGAGCTAGAAGCGCTGAGTCTCATAAATATATGTTTGTGTAAGTAACATGATTTTTGAGTTATAATCAGCAGATAATAAAGATGACCCTCGAAGAACAAGGTGAAGTTTTGCCGTGTCAGATAAAGAATTAAAATCCAACAGGTGACCGATTTCTTTTGCTAAGTTACCAAGATAGTTCGTTCTGTGTTGAATAAATATGGGACATTCAAACATAAAATGAAAGATGGTTTCGGATTGGCACCCAC